GGGGATGTTCCAGGAGTGGGAAGTGATGTCACTCCCCATTCCCCCCGAAACAATGAAGTGACGATGGCATGTTGGCGATGTCGGGGGTGACACTCTAGATTTTGGACAAAACTCTATGATAAAATCAGCATCAAACCATAGAGTTTTGCCCAAAAGCCGAAGCGCCACCACAACCCTAATGTTGCCAACATGCCAATGTCACTTCTGGGTGACGCAAGCACATCATGTGCGATGTTGCTGCTTGGGGGATTTCCTCTCATCAGCCAGCTGGGGGGTCCCTGCCCCCCACTGGGCAAATGGCAACCCTAGTGCTGAGTCATGCTTCAACCTCAAGTTGGCTCAATAAGTGGTAGTATCAATTTGTGTGTGTGTGTGTGTGTGTGTGAGAGAGAGAGTGAAGTTTCTAGAGAGGAAAAAGGGAGAGAAGGGAGAGAAGGAAAATGTCGGAAAAGAGAGGGAGGAAAGATGGAGAAAAGCAGAAGGAAATAACAGGAATGTCAGAACTCAAAGACATATATAGTAAAAGAGGTTGCAGATGGGATTTAAAGATAAGGGCCTTGTGAGTCCCCAGTTCAGGGTGGGGGTTCCCCCAGTTTTCGAGGCTTTTCCTTCCACCAGCCAGCTGGCCAGCAGGGGAACCCTGCCTCCAAACAGCCCTGTCCCCACGTGACATGTCATGGTGACGTCACATGGAAATGACATCATCACACCAGGGACATTGCGCAGGGAAGCTCTGGTTTAAGGGCAAAACTATCTGGTTGTAAGCTGGTTTTACCATAGAGTTTTGCTCTTAAACTAGAGCATCCCCACGTGACATCCCCGGTGTGATGACATCACTTCCAGGTGATGTCATCACATCAGGGATTTCCTGGAATGCCCCCATATCCCCCCACTGGAACGATGAGGGAACCTGGCAACCCTACCCGTATCTGAAAATGTATGCTCCAGTGGGTAAAACAGATCAGACAATGAATTTATTTATTATTTATTTAATTAATTTATATCTCGCCCTTCCCGCGAAGGCAGGCTTAGGGCAGCTTACAAAGTTAAGAATTAAGCAAGTTAAGAAACAAGTTAAGAATTAAGCAAGTTAAAAATTCCTTCCATCCTATTGTAGTACAACTATATAACAAAGTTGCTAGCAAATATTGATGTAATGTGACTATCTATATATCTAATAGCCAGGTCGCCCCCTGGTGTGCAGATAGCTAAATCTGCGCACCGGGGGCACCTGGGGGGGAGGGGGAGTTTTGTGCACACGTGGGGTGGTCCCCAGGTGTGCACAAAAATCTGATTTTTTTTTTAAAAAACGGGGGGATACTTAAATCCCCCCCAAAACTGACAGAGCGTTCCCTGCGCATGCGCAGGGAACGCTCTGCAGCCGGCCTCACTGTCGCCTCCTCCTCAAAGCCAGCCGGCCGGACGCGTGAGAGAAGGGAGGGCGCGAGGCCCAGCCGGCTGCAAGCCGTTGGCCGTCGCTTAAGGGGGGAGGCAGCCGGCCGCAGGGGTTCCCGGCGCATGCGCAGGGACCGCTCTGCAGCCGGCCTCACTGTCACTGCCGCCTCGAAGCCAGCCAGCCGGACCCGTGAGAGGAAGGGAGGGTGCGAGGC